GGTGCAGTGGTTAAGAGCTTGGCTGCTAACAAAAAGGTCAGCAGTTCGAATCCACCAGCCTCTCCTTGGAAACCCCATGGGGCAGTTCTACTCTGTCCTATAGGGTCGCTATGAGTCAGAATCGACTCCATGGCAACAGGTACAATGCCTATCACATCTTGCAAGTAATACACATTTAATAAATGTTTGTTGGATTAAGATGGAGCCCTGGTGGCATAGTGGTTAAGAGCTATGGCTGCTAAACAAAAGGTCAGCAGTTCAAATCCACCAGCTGCTCCTTGGAAACCCTATGGAGCAGGTCTACTCCGTCCTATAGAGTCACTATGAGTTGGAATCGACTTGATGCCAACGGGTTTGGTTTTTTGTCGTTGTTGTTGTTGGATTAAGGGACATATAAATAATTTAATAGTAGTAAAAAAACAACAGAAAAAGAGACTTGTGGGCAAGGTGCAACAGTGAGTTCACAATTTACTATACCTCTTCTACTTCAAACACAAAAACAATGACTAATAAAATGTAGTAAGAGCAAAAGCAAAAACACATTACTGGGCTTTGATAAACGGAAAAGAAATAAAAACAATGGGCAGAGGAAATGCTGAGGGTTTGCTGGGCTCGGTTCAGTGCCAAGCAGAGGCCACTGAGAATGCAGCTTCTGGGGAGAAAAAGGGTTAAAAGGGCTCGTGCATAATAGGAAACAGAGCCAGCATCATGGCTGGAAGCCAAGATATGCATAGGGGCTCCCTTACACAAAAGAAGGCGAAACCCACTGTTGCTGACCAGCTGCCTAGGAGAAAGATTTCTAAGATGCTCTAGAACTAAAGAAGTTCCTGGTGATTAACATGCTCAACTGCAAGCCAAAAGGTTGGAGGTTCAATTCCACCCAGAGGTGCCTCAGAAAGGCCTGGCAATCTGTTTCTGAAAATCAACCATTGAAAACCCATCAAGTACAGTTCTACTCTGACACACATGGGGTCACCATGAATGGAATCGACTCAACAGCAACTGGTTTTCTAGAATCCAAAAACCAGGAAGATAAGGACACTAACACAGGGTAGAATCTGAAGCAGTCACCCAGTGGTTTAGTCATAGGATCTGCACTACTTTAAAAAAAAAAAACCCAGATCAGGAGCTCTGGAGATTATTATAAGATCTGCAGTTTAAAACAAATTCAAAAGGTACAGGAGGTTTGGAAACTAAAATATACTCATAAATAACTCGTGAGTTAAATAAAAGATTAAATGAGAAATTATGAAATATTTAGAAAAATCATCAGCCAGGGAAACTTCTTTGGTATCCAAATCTGTAGGATGCAGCTAAAGCAATGTTTGGAACATGAGAGTTCACCACAATAAGTATCAGTGAGAGAAACCATAGAGAGGGTGGGATTTGAGCTGATTTTTCCAAAATGAAAGCACTGCCAAATCCCTGCCCGCCAGAAGTCCCCCTTGCGGGTCTACTGGAGCCACACAGAGTAAGGACATCCAACAGTGAACCGAGGAAGGACAGAATGAAGAGCTTGTAGTGGCATCTGATGCTCTGAAATTAAAATCCTAATGACATCAATAGGGACTCTCAAATATACCAACAATCGTGAAAATGGCACAGGACCAGGCAACATTTTCTTCTGTTATACATATGGTCGTTGTCTTAGCTATCTAGTGCTGCTGTAACAGAAATACCACAAGTGGATGGCTTTAACAAACAGAAGGTTTAGGAGGTTAGAAGTCCAGATTCAGGGTGCCAGCTCTAGGGGAAGGCTTTCTTTCTCTGTCAGTTCTGGGGAAAGGTTCTTATCATCAGTCTACCCCTGGTCTAAGAGTTTCTCAGTGCAGGGACCTCGGGTCCAAAGGACATGCTCACTCCCGGCTCTTCTTTCTTGTTGGTATGAAGTCCCCATGTCTCTCTGCTTACTTTTCTCTTTTATATCTCAAAAGAGATTGACTCAAGATACAACCTAATCTTGTAGATTGAGTCCTGCCTCATTAACATAACTGCCTCTATCCCTGCCTATTAACATCATAGAGGTAGGATTTACAATACATAGGAAAATGATATCAGATGACAAAATGGTAAATAATCACGCAATACTGGGAATCATGGTCTAGTCAAGTTGACACATTTTGGGGGGACACAATTCAATCCATGACATTCTACCCTTTGCCCCCCCCCCAAAATTCATGTCCTTGCCACATGTAAAGCACATTCATGCCATCATATCATCCCAAAAGCCTTAAATCGACTCCAAGTCCAAAATCTCCTGGGGCAAAATTTCACTTCATCCCTGAAATCTGGAACATAAGTTATCTGATTCCAAAGTACGATGGTGGACCAGGCACAGGACAGACATTTCCATTACAAATGGGAGAAATTGGAGGGTGTCTTAGGCTGGGTTCTGTAGAAAAGCAAAACCAGTAAAGCATATAAATATATATATAGAGAGAGATTTATATTAAGGAAATGGCTCACGTGGTTTTTAGAGGCTGTATGTCCCAAGTCCTTGGGCAGGAAAGAGACTTCTGCTGATTCATGTAGCCACAGGGGCTGATGAACCCAAGAATGGCAGGCCAGAAAGAAGGGCTGTTGCTTACAGGCTGTGAAGATCAACGAATCTCAAGATTGGCAGGCAAGACTGAAGGTAAGCTGCTAGCTCAAGTCCCAAGAACAGGAGGTCAGAGGAACAGGAGCCAGCTGCAGGATCCAGAACAAGCAACAGCAGCAAGGAGAGCAGGAAAGACTAGGCAGCAGAGGGCAGAGAGATGAAGGCTGAGGGGGCAGTGAGCCACCACAGGCCCTGCCCCCACCAGTACCATTCACGGCAGATCCCATCATGGGGGTGATCACGTATCAAATCTCAACAGGGAAGTGATCACAACATTATACGACTGCCAAAACACTGAGAATCATGGCCCAGTCAAGTTGACACACAATCTTAACCATCACAGAGGGAAAGAAGGGTTAACAGGCACCAAGCAAGTCAGCAGAACATATTACATTAGCTCTCAAGGTTTGAAAATAATCCTCTGTTCT